TCTCTGATTATCTTCATCATCTTCATCAAGCAATTTTCAATTAATTGAATGTGTACTTTCAAATGATCCAGGTAACAAAAAGGAGGCAATTGATGAACCATGAAGTGTATCTTTGATAGACATCATCATTATCTTCATCAAACTTGTTATGTTGTTGTTGAAGATGAAGATGAAGATGATGATGATGATGATGATGATCAAGAAGCTAACTAGATAACTGGAATGTTGTTTAGCACGTAATCGCCATCGCAATAATGTTGATCATCATTTCTGACCAGTAACAATTAACATTGAGAAAGGAAAAAAAAACTTACAGGTAAAAACTTTTTCTTTTTCCTTGGGAAGAGAAATAGAAGAAAAAATTTACTTTCATTTAAGAAGAGAGAATATCATCATCATCATTATCATCATCATCATCTCCATCGTTCTCTCCTCCTCCCACTTTACTTTCTTTACCTTTATCTTCATCTTCATCTTTAAGACTATCAACTAATTATGTTGATTTTGTTTTCCCCAAAATGACCTGACCCTTAACTGTTTAACACCAACAACAAACTTTTGTTGACCTTTTTGTTGTTGTTGTAAAATCTAAACACTGATCATACAAACAATTAGCAATAAACTGGACAATCAGATTTACAAATAATCTATTACTACTGGTCATCTCTATTGGTATTTTAGTTTAAGGTTAAAGGCCAAGGTTAAAAGATCCGTTAGTTTTAGTAAAATTATTATTAAAAAAACTAAGTTTAAACATCTTCATGTTAACCTGAGGTCAGTCACTTTTGTTTGGTCAAGCTTATGTATCTTTACTGTCCATCATCATACAACATCATCACTAACCGGTAAGGTCAGTTGGTCAAGGAGGAAGAGGATTAGTCCAAGATGACCAATGATGATAAACAGTAGAAAAAAATATTCATGTTTACTCATTACAACAAATAAACTGACCAACAGGTAAATAGATTTACCTTTTTTTTTTGGTCCGAAGAAAAATCTTAATCTTGTTTCCTGATTATTGCAACGATTTGTTCATCAACTGATATCAATCAACATATATCATAACCTTTGACACTTGACTCTCTCTCTCTCCTTGTTGATTGTCCAGCTGATAAATCAATGATTTTGCGTTTCAATCCCTCCAAAACTGGAATCACCTTTACACCGGAAACAAACTGACCTTTATCACTCAGGTCATGGTCAATTTTATATCAATCTATGTATCGATCAGGTAACAAACTATTAATAATGTTAATTGTTATTTAAATTGTGAACTTAAATCTTTGTTAATCTGGTTAATCCACCGATGAACCAGAAATTTTGTCACTCTAATCGTCACATTGATTCAGTTTAAATCTAATTGTTAACAATTGGATTGATTTTTTTTTCATGGTCAGTGATTTAACAATTGCTTGGATATTGAGATTATGTTGAATATGATTAAATTGTCAACTTAAATTGTGAAAATTTGTTTCTAAATAATCCAACTCATCTTAACCATTTACACTTGATTGATTTGTTTTGGATATTATTGATTGTTGTTAATTATCATCTAATTACCAATTTAGCATCCAATAAATTTACTAACAATTAAGGTAACATTATTATCCTCGAGGTAAATCAAATTAAATGGTATCACAATTAAAACTAATGATGATAATAAAGTTTTAAATTATCTTTGGTTTAACTAACAATGAAAAGTTAACGATAATGATTAAACATGGAAAACAATTAACTCTTGATGATAATGATTAACTTTAGGGTTTCGATTACCAATCAAAGTTTAGATTGTTGATCAATCAAATCAAATCAAAATCTAGTCCATTGATAATTAATCAATTGAATTACTAATTAATTATCATTGTAACTTTATCAACTGTTACTTATCATCATTATCAATGTCGATGATTAACTTTTATCTTAATTTTACCTGAGGGTTAATTGTTAAAATTAACTAATGAATTAAGCTTAAGGTTAAATCTATGATATTTTAATTAGTTTCCTACATCTAATTATGATTGTAAGTAATTAAAAAAGGGTCAAAGTAATTAACAAATGATGATTATGTCACTTAACCCTTTGCACTTGAAAAATAATTAACTGATTGTTTATTCATTACAATCAAACTTATCAATAACTAATGATCTTAATCAGTATCACAATTTAGTCAAGGTAACAATTAACAAATTGTACAATCAAGTCCCTTTATCAATCAATCAACATTTCCTTGTTTAATCAACCACAACAATTAAGAATTTATTTTTTCTTAATTCTCTTTGTGTTTTCATTGTTAATTGTTGGAAATTAAATCGTGACTTAATTCAAATTTAACTCTAATTGAATAATATTTAAATTTCTTACCAAATTTCAAGGTTAATTGTGGATTAGTTAATTAGTAGATAAAGTTAATTATGATCACGGAGTTAAAATTAATTAACCCCTTTGATGATATTCACAAATAGTTGATTAATTTTCACACTTAATTGTTTGATAACTTGACACACAATTAATTAGATTGTAAATCGGTTGATCACAATTAAACTTTTCTGGGTTTAGTTTTAATTGTTAATACCAGTGATTTGAAGCAAACAAAAACACTTGAAACAATTAGTTAAATTTACAGTGAATAATTTAATTAATTAATGGAAATTAGTTGGATTGAATGTTGGTGAGGTTAATTAATTAAATGGAAAAGTGAAAATTTGATAAACAATTTAACTTAAATGATAATCACGATAAATCATGATGAACAATTTAAATTTCCAGAGAGTAACAATTTAACCAGAAAAAGAGAGGAAATTAACAATTTAATCAAATCAATTGTTGGTTATCATTTGAAACGACAATGATAACAATCAATTATCATCATAATCGTTAATTGTTAACCAATAAATTTCTGATTCGCTTTAATAATCTTACCTTTCATCAAGTTGATTACCAGGATTGGTTAACAATTAATTGTTGGGTTGATGATCAAAGATGATGGTGATAAGTGAGAGAGAAGGCAGTTTACATCAATGATGATGAAGATGATGATGATGATGATGAGAAGGAGGAAGATAAATGAAAGTAAATTACAGGTATTTGGAAAAGAATGAAAAATTTTCTTCTTTTCTCTCTTGAAAAAAGTTCTGAAAACTTTTTCTCTTGAATTATGTTTGCGATTATTTCTTTAGAATATGAAGAAAATAATTAAGTGTTTGATTATCACACTGATTTGTTAGTTAATTGTTATTAGAAAACGATGACAATTAAATCATCTTGATCATCTTCAGATCAACATCTCCATCCCCAGGTAATAATATAAATCAGTAAACATATAGAATTGATCATGAGCATTGAACTTTTTGAAAAAGTTTTCGAAACTTTTTTTCTTGGTGTAACAAATTCAATACGATTATGGATCAAGGATAAACAATTAAGGTGGACAATTAGATTAATTGTTAATCATGTTAATCGTTGATCTAATGTTATACTTTGCTAGATTTTGGCCTTAAGGTTATTATTATAATTTGAGTTGCTTATTATCATGGAAATGACTTAATCAAGGATAATTAAAAGTTAATCAATTAACCAGAGAGTTGACTTTTTTTTCTTCATCCAGTGATTATGATTAAAATTGATTACAATTAGATTTAATTCATTTCCTGGTCAACAGAGCAATGGAAACTTTTTTATCACTCATTCGTTAATTATCATTTCAATGAGTTAATTAATTGATTAACAAAAAAAACCAAGGCAAGGTCATCATCATTAGCATCTCCTCATCACTTTTGACTATCATCATCATCATCCTGATGATTATGTTAATTAATTTAATCATCATTATCATGTTAATCATATTCAAGTCTATTTAAAGGTCACTTATTTTGTTAAAAAATTTCTTTATCAAATTGTATCGTAATTGTGATTAAACCAAAGACGAAAGTTAATTGTTACAATTAACATAGAGGACGATGAGCTTAATGTGTATGTTTATTGTGAATTTTAATCATGATTAACTTTTTAATTTGCTTCTAGATATTTTGCTACATAGCTCACAGATAAAGTTAATTGTTGTTGTAAATTTTGTCCATTGACAATTAACTTTTTTATCAACTGGATTAGTTGAATTTGAAGTTTTTTTGTATCAATCAGATGATTAATGATTGAATTTAAGTTAATCATTATTGATACTTGACTTTAAAAGTGACCATTAATTTTGATGAGATTTTCCTACTGGACAATTTGTTAATTGACTTTTTTTTTCATCTTGTTGACAAATTGTTTAAAGTTGATTATTTATTGACAATTCGATAGCAATTAAATTGACAAATGATCAAATTGTTGTTCATGGTAAAGAATTAACAAACTATCAACACTGAATATCAACTGTGAACTTGCGGTGGTTGGAGGGTTAGAACATTATCATTAGAACTCGAGAAAAAAATCGAATGAATCTTTTTTTCTCTATAAGAAATTTTCTCTCTCTCTCTCTCTCTCTCTCTCTCTCTTCTCTTTCTTTTCCATCATCATCATGTTCATCGTCTTATCATCATTTTCATGATGACTATCATCGTTTTCGTCCCTCCTCCCATTTCGAAGGGAAGAAAAACAAAATGTTTCCCTTTGCGCAGAAAAAAATAGATGATGAAGAGAGAAAATAATAAGGATGATAAGGATGATAAACTGCATCTTGCGCATCCAAAGACCTTTTTTAACACCCTGTAAAAAGACAGAGGGAAAGAGAAGAAAGAGAAAGATGAAGATGATGAAGATAAAGTTGAGAGAGAATCAGAAAGACCAAAGAGAAAAGCAAAGAGAGAAAGAGAGAGAAGAAAAAATGTTACGATAAAAAAAGAAAGAGAAGAAGCAAAGAGAAAGAGGGAGACAGAAGAGAAGAGAGGGCAAAAAGTAAGAGAAGATGAAGATAAGGAGAGAGAGAGAGAGAGAGAGAGAGAGAAGATGATAAGAAAGAGGAGAGCGAGTTTTCTGTTGGATTACTTGTTATTATATTTTGTTCTGTTGAATGGTTAACTTAGATTCGAAACTTTTTTTTCAAACTTATTGTGGTTTCGATGACAATACAACTAATCACAATTAACGAGTTAATCTTAATAATAATCAGTGTAAATTAATCAGTTCTCAGTGTAATCAAACTACAATTAACTATAAATCACCAATATCATCAAAGTGATAATTGAAAAAAGTTTTTTTTTCTGTTCTGTTCAAAAAGCAACAATCAACAAACAACCAAATGGATTAAATTTTTATAGATTAATTGATTTGCCAAACAATCAAAAATGATAATTTAATCAACTAATCAGGATTGAATCTAAATGACTATGTTTTCAGTATTGGAGCAATTGTTTCACACGAAATTATCAGATCAACGGTTTGTGTAACAATTAGTAAATTACTCCGAGTGAATTACTATCTCATTGAATGTGTATCTCTGTGTGTTTGTTTATCTGTGATAATAGTTTGTTTTTCACCTTTCATTTGATTTGTAAATTGTCAACAATCAATAAATACTAATTAGAAATGATGGAAACATCTTCATTAACTCCTTTATCATCCAAACTAAATCACAGTTTAACTGATCAATTGGTATCACCTTCAATCAGTTCATCACTTTACCTTGTCCATCATCATCATCATCATCACAATAATAGCTCATCAGATTCTGGGAAATCAGTGACACCAACATCAGAACCTGATAAAAATGGTCAATCAATTGAATGTGTAGTTTGTGGTGATAAATCATCAGGTAAACACTATGGTCAGTTTACCTGTGAAGGTTGTAAATCATTTTTCAAAAGGTCAGTTCGACGTAATTTAACTTATACTTGTCGAGGAAGTCGCAATTGTCCAATAGATCAACACCATCGTAATCAGTGCCAATATTGTAGGCTAAAAAAGTGCCTAAAAATGGGTATGAGGAGAGAAGGTAAGTTTTCATCTTTCATTTATCTTCTTTCATCATCATTTTTTTTTCCTTCTCTCTCAATTGACCAATTGATCTTGAAAGTAGCTTGTTACGATTGAAATTCGTGTTCAAAATGTATAATTTACTATTCATTGATAGTCGATTATTATAATTACCCTGATCATCAATCGCAATTACATTGGAAAGTTTTAAGGATCAGCGTGAATTTTGTTATTCTCAACTGGTCACTTTGAATTCTTTAGCTTTAGTGGTCAGTGTAAAGTTTATTTTCTTTAAGTTTATCATCTCTCAAGATGAAGATGATAATGATGATCATCATCGTTTTCATCTTTGGGTTTCTCTCTCGGTCGGTAACAGTTACTTTTGTTTTTCTCCTTGTTGGAAAAAAAATTCCTAGAAGATAAACAAAGTAGAGATGAGGATGAGGAGGAGGATAAAGAGGAAGATGAAGATGAAACCAAGAGGTTAATGATGATGATTTAAGAATCACCACCGGAGTGGACACATGGTGGACACATGTTGACTCAAGAAATGCAAAAGGTCAATAAGAGGTCAATAATAACTTGTTGCTAAGAAGAAGAGGAAAAGTGAACTGTTTTTTGTTTCTGTGTAAAGATGAAGATAAAAGATGCTGATGATCCGCATCCTCATCTTCATTTCAACTCAACTGTCAAATGATCCCAGAGAGAGAGAGAGAGAAAGAGAAACGTCAACAATTAGTTTTGTAAAATCTCAAAACAATTTGCGACTTTAAATTGAAAGTAAACCAAAAAGCGCTAAAGTCTAGATAACAATCAATTGATTTATTAATAATCATAATTGCAAATAGTTAAATCGCAATTTAAATTGTTTTTTTCTTGACTGCAACGTTGTGAAAAAGTTATCATCATTTTTGACAGGAAATGTAATCAGTGGGTAAGAAAGTTTTGCAAACTATTACATGTTAATCAAAATAAATTGCAATGATTAACAAGATTGATTTGACGGATAAATTAGTTCAACAGGTAATCACCACCGATGTTGATTTAGTTTTTGTCTAAGGTGAGGAACCAACAAAAAAAAACAGGAACCTTGATAAAAGTATTATAATGAAGGTAAAAGGCCTTGTCGATAGTTTTACCTTGATTTTTGAACCTGGAATTGACCTTGAATCAACCATCCATAGCATTATAATGTAACTTGGGTGCATCATCATCTTAATCATCATCTTAAGATGATGATGATGATGATGAGAGAGAGAGAGAGAGAGGAAGATGGAAAAGTGAATATCAACTGTAAACATAACTATGAATTCACCACAAATAATAATACATATGAAGATGATGAGTTTAAACAGAAACAACAATTTACTTGACATGAAACAACAACATGATGATGAGAATGATAAAAGTAGTAGTCAGGTGAGCGTGTAAACAACAGGTAAACAATATTTCGCCATCATCATCTTCTCTCTCTCTCTTTCTCATCTTTTTATCCTCATCATCATCACTTTTCACTCTGAAATGTTTGTTTATCTTGTTGTGGTTTCTTTTTTTTCTTGTTATCCAATTTCATTTTATCCATCATCACGATCTATCATATGGTTCATCAATGATGATAATGATGATAATTTGGTGACAAAACGATGATTATCAACATTCTGATTCTCACTATTTAAATTGTCTCGCCCTAATTTTCAATCGGAATCAAGTGGCAATAGTTGAGCTCTCATCTAATCCTACTAATCGTTATTTCATCATCATCATTACCCCTTTATGACCTTGAGCCCTTTTCCATAATGATAATTAAGAGATAATCATTATCATGATTATCCTTATTGTCTTGATTATTTTCTTAATCTCTCTCTCTCTCTTTCTCCCTATTCCGGTTCAATGGATAATCCATCAACTCACTCTGACCTTATTCCTAAATTTTATCTTAATCAACTGAAGATAATCAAGTTAAATCATGTTGATGATTCATGTTAATCACAGATGAACAATTAGTTGTGAACCATTGAGTTAATTGTTATTAACTGTAACCCATGAACAAGAAACAAACCTCTAATCACAAAAATCATGGAAACCAATTTAATAACTATCATCACAATTATCATCATTTAACATCATCATTAAACATTGATCATGATTTGATTCAAACAATTAAGTTTACCTTTTTTTTGTCAAGTTTAATTAAACCTTGTATCTAAACTAAACTTTCATCAATTACAATCAATTTTAATTAAAAGCTTATGGTTAAACTTTTTGATTACTTTCTCACAATGTAAACACAATTAACACAATCTAAACAATTAACTTGTTTTCCCAGTTGTTAATTGATCATTAATTAATGATTAAACGTTATATCACAATTAAATCTCAGGTATTGTTGTTTGATGAGATTGATTAACTTTCCATTATTATTATTAATATAAATTGTTCAAAGTGAAAGTAATTAAACAATTAGCTGGCTTAGAGATTAGATTGATTTAATCACGATGATTAGTTAATCATGATGGTCAGTTTAAAATTAGAATTGATTGAAAAAGTTTCCTTCATTGTTTAAATTGTTTGAAACTTCATTTCGTATGATTAAATTTGATTGTTTCAAATTAATCTAACCTTGAATTATCATTGAGAGATTTAAGTTTGGTATTAATTTTTTATTTACTTACATCGTTACACTGATTGTAACAATTAACTTCATAGGCAATTAATTGTTGTAATCAACTACAACTTGAACCTCATTTTCGGTTGTATGTTTAATCATTAATAATACTTTTTCTAAACAATTAACCTGATCTTTAATTGTTAATCATCTTTTATGCATTAACAGGCAAAGTTTAATGATCCATTTAAAGACAACAACGATTAGCCAAACATCAACAATCAGTAAATTGTTAGTTGAAAATGATCACAATTTACACAATCATTTCATTACAATTAAGTTGATCAATTTTACATGATTATCATTCAATCTGATTATATTAATTGTTATCATTTTCTGGTAAAGTAATTAATTTGTTTCCCTTGTTAAAGAAGGTGAACAAAAATTAACCGTTACTTTTAATTGTGATGATTTGATTTACACCAAAGAGATACAAATTGTAATACATTTTGATTGCTACTCTTTTGCCCTTAGGTGTTGTTTCTGGTTAGTTAATCATTTCCAATCCAAAGTTAATTTAATTGTTTCCAATTGAATCGCTAAACTGAATCAATATTAATCATGATTATCACTGGTAAGAGTTGATTACAATTTTCTTATTAATCAATTAATAGCAATCCTAATATTAATTAACATTAACTTTAATTTTAAAACCTTTTTCTTTCATCTTTATTGTTTGATTGTAACAATTAGTTAAATTTATTTATTATTATTATTGAATGAAAATTGATAAACGTTATCATTTCCTTTTCCGGATTCATTTAGTCTGTAAAGGATTAGATTTGAAAAACTTTCACTTCCTTTTTCCGGTTCATCATGATGAACATTAATCAATCTTAAATCATGATTTGAACAATGATTTAGATTATTAAAAGAGAGAATCAACTTAATCACCTTCCGTTGACCTTGAAATTTTTTAAGTAATAAACTTAATCCAGTTTAAGACTAATTATCACAATACGAAAAGTCAACAACAATCAGTCAACTGATTTGAATTTATGATGAGAAGGATGAAAAAAAAACTCTCTGACCAGAACAAGAGGGTCAAGATGATGAAGAAAAGGAAAATAAAGTGGTCAGCAATTAATTCAATTTGTTGATTACATTACAATTAATCTATTCCATCATCATCATCATCATAGTCAGAAAAAATTAGCATAACAATTAAGATCGAAACTGGAAGAAAAAAGTTCTAATGACTCGAAAACTAGTTGGAAAAAGTTTTCTCATTTCCTTTTCTATTATTTGAAATCGTGGTAATAATAATATCAATTCAATTGTGATCACAAAAATTGATGATATTTCAATTAGCCTGAGGGTTGTTTTTGTTTTACAATCAATTCATGATGAGTACAAGTAAATTGTTGATGATTAAATTTGGTGTTGCTGTTGATTGAACAACAACAACACCAACAAAAAACTAACAATAAATAAAAATCATTGATAAAAGTTTATGATAACTTTTGATAAGAGTAACAAAATTTACTCGTAATAATTGAGAATCAGAGTCAGAATCAGAATCACAATTAAATTTAATTGTGATTCGCTTTGCTAAGCATCGTTGATTCATATTTTCACGCTTCCTTGTAACAGCTTCGGTCTATTTCCGATTCATCTTCATCTTCATCTCCATCCTCATCTTCATCATCTCTCTCTCTCCATCACCTCAGATATAATATAATTGTGATGATTGAGGTTAAAGTTAATCTTATACTCTTACGATTGACATTTAAATTGTTGTTTGTTTCTTACATCCACCAATTACAATTTAATTCACTGTAACAAACAATTTACTAAACAATCAACATTTCACACATTTATCAAAATCAACAACCATAATCAGCCCAGACAATCAGCAAATCGCTGAACAACAATAAACCGATCTAATTGTTTATCTGAGAAACATGATGATAAAAATGATTAAAGCTAAAAAAAATCTATCATAACAATCAACTAATTCAATTTGCATAGATGAGAATCATTTGCAAAGCAAAAATCAATCAGCAAATTGAACAACAATCAATTGATACGAAAATGTTTATCTATTGATTGGAAGGGAAGAGAAGAGAAGAAAAAAAATAAACCAATTAATTGAAATCAATACAATTAACTAATTGTTTGCAAAACAAAAAATTCTTTTTTCTTCCAAATCGATTAGCTGTCCAAAGAGGACGAGTACCACCAAGTCAACACGTTCTACCAGGCCAAATGACCCCAGCATTGACCAACGGTGAAACGTTAAATGGACACGCATATTTATCATCTTTCATAACGTTACTGGTTCGCGCTGATCCATCATCACAGTATGTCCAGTACGCACAAACACCAAACATGATGACCATGGAATCAATTAATGACATAGCCACTCGTCTATTAATCTCGGCCATTGATTGGGCTCGAAATATACCTTTTTTCCCTGACCTTCAAGTGACCGATCAAGTTGCCCTTCTACGAGTTGTCTGGTCAGAATTGTTTGTCCTTAACGCTTCCCAATGCTCAATTAATGTGACGGTAGCCCCTTTACTAGCAGCCTCCTCAGTCCACGCCTCGACTCCATTTGCAGCCGATCGGGTGATCACTTTCATGGATAATATCAGAATCTTTCAGGAACAAGTAGATAAACTCAAGTCACTTCATGTAGACAGAGCTGAATATAGTTGTCTTAAAGCCATTGTCCTTTTCTCAACAGGTAAGATTATCTCTCTCTCTCTCTCTCTCTCTCTCTCGCTTTTATCATCATGATAATCATCGTCATCTAATTTCAATCCAATTCACAATTTCATTTGTTTTTCACCTTTAAACATTTTCCGTGAGTTTGTCTCTTCCCTCTAGAGGGATAATAGTACAAAGGAAATTAACACAAATTAAATTGTCTCCTAACAATCAATCTTAATCGAGTTACATTTCCTCAGGGCATCAACATAGATTACGTGATGTTAAGGCTAATTTCATCATCATCAGATGATGATGATGATGACTTTAGGTGGTCTCTTCATTTTCATCTCATTCTGAGATTATTTTTTCCTAATTCATGGTTAGGTTTACATGGTATTTAAATTTAATTGCAACTTAATAACACTTTTATTCAGTTATTATTATGAATTAACTTAATTCTTAGTTACTATTCATTGATTAGCTAAATACATGTACACACAATTAAATTGATCACTTTCTATTAGATACAAAAACCTTTCATTAATTTCATATTTTCCTTTTTTTTTCACCTTCTCCGTTAATTGTCAAGGTAACAATCAATTGATACTATTTAAAATTATCCAACTATATACAAATTAAATTACAATCAAAATGTTTTATAATCTTACCCCCTTGATCACAATTAACTAATCACTTAAAATGAAAAGAGAAACATAATTATCCTTGACAATTGATGATGATTTATTTGTGTAACAATTTATACTAAACTGACAATCAGTAAATTGTTGCGTGATTAATTGAAACACCAATTAAATTAGTGATCAAATTTACCGAAGAAAAAAAAACAAAAATCAATTAACTTGTTAATATTATATGAAAACAGAAATTATTAAATTGCTAATAAACCACAATTTAGTTTGTACCTTGAGGCAAATTACCTCAAGTAAATTGTTTTACCAATCAGATGTAAAACAATTAAATCTGATAATCAAGTTTACATATAAACTAAATGAGATGACAATTAGTAAACAATTAGACCCTTAATTTGACCATTGCGTAAACAAAAATGATAATAATAAAACACAATCAAGTTAATCATGATTATTATTAAGTAAACAATGAAATCCAAATTGATTGAGCAAATAATGTGATTGAAATAAAGAGTAAATTTCAATGGGACAATTTACTAATTATATCAATGGAGAGCTAATTGTTTTTCTGTTTTAATTGTTTCAGATGCTTGTGGCTTAACCGATGTCAATCATATTGAAAGTTTACAAGAAAAATCTCAATGTGCCCTCGAGGAATATTGTAGGACCACATATCCTAATCAACCGACACGATTTGGTAAATTGTTACTTCGTTTACCATCACTTCGGACAATTAGTAGCCAAGTAATCGAGCAGATATTTTTGTTTGGAGTGACGGCAAAAATGCCGATCGATCAGCTCATCAGAAACGCTCTGCTTAATGAAAACATCCCACCTCTTCATTGGCCACCACCGGGCTATTTGGCTTGTTAACATAGACAAGAGTAGTGGTCATCGTCGTCTTCATCTTTATCGTCACGAAGAAAAAAATTTTATATCGAATAGAACAAAAAATTCGATATTTCCATTATTCCCACTGCTCTCTCCCTCTCATCTCTCATTTACATCAGTACAATTTGACTCCCACTCCCACCTTCTTCTTAACTCTCTCACCTCCTCCTCTTTCTTATTGTCCACTCCCAACACCCACATGGACAATAGACAATAATGGAAATGACAACAAAGAGAAGAAGAAAAAATTTTTTTTCTCGAATAATTTTCACTATTGTTATGTCATTTAGAAGGAGAATGATGAAAACAAACTGGACATTGGTCAAGATGATGTTTACCTTTGATAATAGTGTTAATATCCCTCATCCCCTTTTAGCATCTTCCAAAGCAATTGTTGATTATTTACTTATATTTTTTTTTTCTCTTCCTCATCATCATCAGTTTCTCATCTTCATCATCACCTTCATCTTTTTTAGTATTTTTTTGTCTCCATTTTTTTTGCGTTCTCTCTCTCTCTCTCTCTCTCTCTCTCTCTCTCTCTCATTTTCATCAATATTATCATCCATCGAGTGTATAAATTGTTTCATAATAAGTAATTATTGAATATAAACGTCAATATAACAATTAATAATAAATAAGATTACGGCAACAATTAAAATTGTTTCAATTTGTTTCAACGAGAAAATTATAAAACTTAATATTGATTGAATGTCTTTTGTGAACTGACCGTTAATGGACAATCAACAAATTTGGTTAAAATGTTAACACGAGCATAATCAATTTGATTAACAATTTATCATTAAGATTAACACGATTAACAGTAGAGGAAAAAGTTGCATGATTAAAAGGATCATAGTTTATGGGTCAAAATTGAATATATTAGTCTCATTATCGTCCATTGGTCAGCTCATGTTATTAAAATGATGAATGTGACCCACAAGGAGGAGGAAAGAGTCATGGAAATTGATGAAAGTGATATTAATAATAAAGGTCAGTTGAGATCATCCAAGTGATAATCAAAGGGATATGATGATAAAAAGCCCAATGGACTTGATACTTTGTCTTTTTTTCTGTTCCTATGGACATTAAACTGACCATAACTGATCATAAGGGTCGTTTTAACCCTTAAACCAAAATCTTGCTAGACATTGAAACTGTTGGTCATTTTTTGTTGTTATTTGTCTTTTGTAGTTACATTCATATGATAAATCGGTTGATTGGTCACTTTTATTGATAGGATGGTGGTCAATATGCAAAGAGGAAATCGAAAGTGATGAAAAAGAATTTTTTTCTTCCATATTTTATCATCCATATTAGTATTGGTATAATGTAAGTTAGGGTTTGAAAGGGAAAGTGGACAGATTGACCGAAAGGAGGGAGGCGAAGTGGTAGGACATTGAGAGGACGGACGATAACGGGAACTGGTCAAGTCAAAGGGCAAGATCATCATCTCCGTGCCAATATTACAAACACATCGAGTTTGTATAAGGTCACTGGGAGTTCTTGATAACAATAACATATATTAATAACAAGGAAAAAAAAGCTCCAAGATTTAACTATCCTAATCATCCCCAATCTCACTTATGATGACAAAAATCTCTCTCTCTCTCTTTTAATATGACTCATATTTCTCACCCACATTTTTTTCTCTCTCATTCTCTTTTCATCCTCCTCCTTTTCTGATAGCGTAACAAACTATGATAAAGTTGATTACAATCAACCCATTTGAATGTAAAATCAATTCATACTTCTCACCCAATTTCATTTCTCTTCATCCTCCCTCTCCTCCTGTATCTCTCTCTCTCTCTCTCTCTCTCTCTTTTAATATGACTCATATTTCTCACCCACATTTTTTTCTCTCTCATTCTCTTTTCATCCTCCTCCTTTTCTGATAGCGTAACAAACTATGATAAAGTTGATTACAATCAACCCATTTGAATGTAAAATCAATTCATACTTCTCACCCAATTTCATTTCTCTTCATCCTCCCTCTCCTCCTGTATCTCTCTCTCTCTCTCTCTCTCTCTCTCTCTCTCTCATTCATTTTTATCATCGTCATAACAGTAATAATAATTTCCAATAGCCTCAAGTCCCTTTTAACCCCGACCTTATCCTTCATCTTTTGTCTCTCTCTCGCTCTCCATCATCATCATTACCCACCTTCCCCTTTCCTCCTTTTAACCTCCCAACATTTTTTTTTCTCATCTTTACTTCTTGAAGATAAATTTTATATCATCATCATCATCCAATATATAGTATTCATATTCATATTGCATTATCATCATCAATTGTTATCAAAGCAAAAAGTATAATAATAATAATAATAATCTGTGGTTCACCACCCACTTCAGTTACACATTCAGTTTCCTTTTGTTAAATATCATTATTATCATATTTTCGTGTCCGGATTTGGCCTCGTTACGGTCTTATAATCATAAACCACATCCGAACACAGATGAAGAGAGAGAGAGAGAGAGAGAGAGAGAAAGTACCAATATGTGTCCTCAATATCTCATATATTATATTGGATAATTTTTTGTCAACTCTTTTAACCTTCCTCTTTACCCTTTCCGAACCCTTCCCTGACCTCCCTTATCATCCTCATCCTAATCTATTAAATCTACTGGAAATCTAGATCTACTGATGATGATGATAAAAAAAAACATGCAAAAATCATCATCAGCGCGTTACAAACAATAATATAATAAACTCACTCAAAATATTACAAGACATCAATGAAAATACATTAATCTGATTGAAGAAATAAAAAAAAAAGTTTATAATATATGATAACATTTATCAAGTCACTTTTATTATTATTATCATTGATGATTTTGAATAGGAAAATGAGAACCATTTATATATTTTATACATTCAATCAGTTTGGTTCACTTAATTTAAACTTTTAAATTGTAATCAATTTAAATTGTTACCTTGTGAAGATGATGATGAGAGATGATAAATGTAGTCAGGTAAAAATATTATCATATCAACAATGATATATTATGATAATAACAATATTACCTGTATGTTTGTATCTCTCTCTCTCTGTGTGTGAATATCAAAGTAATAATTTATTACAATTAACATTCATAATATTTATTATCATCTTTGTAGTAACCTAAATATCAATGATAACAATCAGCTGATTATATATAACTTGATATCTTTTTGTGTTTTGTTTTCTTTGATTGTTATAACAAAGATGATAATCAATAGTGTATAGGTAACCATATATATATACAGGGTGAGATTGACTTACTCACCTTAATGATGACTTTGTTTCAATATGAGACAAAGTATATAAATAATGATAATAATATGATAACTTTCTGAGGAGTTTTTATCATGAATATATTAAAAGGTGTGGTAACCCTATAGGTAAACTATTGTCTCTCTCACCTTGATGATATTATTTTTAGGATATTGGGGGTTATTATTATTAGTATTATCTTATATTTATATATAGGTTAACTGGGAGTGGGAGGTGGTGGTGGTGATGATGTGATGGTGGAGGTCGAGGGTGGGAAGGTAAATGTTGTTATCTTGTTTCCAGAAACAAAACATAACCTATTTGCTTATTTGATGGATCAAATTGTTGATCATTGTGTTGATAACTTGTGGGTGTGTTGAGGTGATAATTTTTTATTTCCTATTATTATCATCCGAGTTGTTAGAATTTTAATTTTCAATCATTTAATCATTATCATAATCTTCATCAGCTAATCTTTGGCTCATTGATTATCCAATGACTCGTAATCCAAATGGAATCAATTTAGTTTTTCTTTTATCTTCTTCTTTTCATATTATCATTTTCTCTCTCTTTCAACTTCTTTTCCAATAGATTAGCTTATATAAGGTGTGAAAGAATAGATGAAAATTATCATCTTTATCATCGTTCAAAGAAATTATTATGATTAGGATTTAATTTAGTTTCCAATAGTTGAGCCAATTTAAATCAATCTACTTTGCGCCAATTATAATGTAATATCAATGATAGAGAAGATAATCTCTCTCTCTCTTCGAAATATTGATGAATGAAAAATGATGAAGATGAAGATGAGGATGAGGATGAAGATAAATAGTGCCTATGGACAATGGCGCTAAAAGAGATCACAAGAAGGCATCGATTCCTTTGAGCGGACAAAACTTTTTTTCCTCGAATTTAAAGTTTTCCTATTATGTTCAATAAAATATGATAATATGTACATAAGCGTGTGTCTTATGTGTGTGTTTGTAATTTTGTGAGATTTAGACTTTGTAATTGTTGTTGTGTGTTGATTGTATTCAATTCGTGGCAATGTTACTTTTTGGTACTACTCTTGACGCGTTTTATTCGTACCATTGTTATAATATAAGTTAAGACTCTTTCGACTTCTTGGATCGTTTTTTTATCATCATCATCTTCACCTTTTTTTCTTCTTCATTTCTATTTTTTTTTTGTTCGAAAGTAATAAAGACTTTGGTCTTGTTACGTTTAAATGGATCACGAATTCGATATACACGAAGACGATGGGCAAGAGATGAACTTCCTCTTTCTCTTCTTCTTTTTCTCCTCTTATTTATCTTCTCTTTCTCTCTCTCTTTCTCCCTCTTCTATTTTTCGTGGTTTACCTTTTTTTCTGTTGTTGGTTAACCACCACAACCACAATCCCCACTGTGGGTAACTTTATCATCTCTTTCTCTCTCTCTTTTATCATCATTATCATCTTCTCACTCCCATTTGTGTTTAAAGAAGAGAAATCTTTTCTTCTCTTTCTTTTCTTCTCTCTCTTCTATTTTTATCATTCACCTACCATTAACTATCAACATAGAATAGAACAAAATCTTTTCTTCTTTTCGAGTTGACACTTTTTTTCCTTTTTCGCTTCAATTCTTAGGTAACTTTTTCTTCTTTCTTTTTAACACCTTTCCATTTCTTGGAAAATTTTATCATCATCATTTCCACTTCCTTGTTACACAGACATTGCGATTTCGTCTCTCTCTCTCTCTCTCTCTCTCTCTCTCTCTCTCTCTACCATGGGCATTATTTGTACCACCGCAATCCTTTCACCTCGAAGAGAAAATTTCTTTTGAAAATTGTGATGTTTTGATTTCGATGAGAGTGAAAAATGATAAATATCATCAGGAAGAAGATGATATTTACCTTTCACCTTATTTTCATTCAATACTTTATTAGATCTTCATCATCGGCAAGTCAACTTACATTAGTATCATCCTCTTATCCTCGAGTATCGAAAGATGTCAAGAAAAAGGTCATATCATTATCGTTTAAGATACTGACCGGAAGGTGAAAAGTATCACCTGACAATTAAATCCAGTGTAAATGTAACATGTAGTAAGAACTGACGGCCAAAAAAACCGGACCTAAAACCGTAAGGCCAGTTAGTCAAATACGAGCTCTAATTGTCCATATGTCGGAAACAATATCAAATATTCAATCTCTCTCTCTCTCTCTTGCTCTCTGGTTATATAATCAGTGTCTCCCTGACATCCTAACGGTAATCGTGCTAAGGTATTGTCAAGATGAAAAAACATTTAGACAATTAATTTATTAATCATCCGTACCAATGTTAAATTAACGTACTGATTGTTTGTTTGTTTGGGTTACATATTGTGCTAGAAGAAGCCGGATCCAAGTAAACGGAGGTAAAAAAGTTACTGTTAACA